AACTATAGTGAAAAAAAAAATTTGTTCGAATTTTCTCAATTTTTCCAAAAACGAGTTTTAAGAAAAACGCACAAATATTTTTCTCGGTGGATATTTTTTTGAATCATCTTCATACCTTAAAAAAACGTAGTTATATTGTATATCAATTAAAAGCCCATCATATGTCTCATTTAGTAGACATACAACAGTACGCCGTGTCATTGTCTCTCGTTATGGATGATAAAAACAAGTGGACTTATAATTTCTCTACAGTTTTATGTACTATGGTTTTTGCTAGGAAGCTTTAAAAGTTCATCGATTATTGTTTAGAAATCCTTCGAAATTGAAAATGACTTCCATGAATTTTAAAGCTAGACACCTTAGAGGTAACAACCATATGTTTATCTCGAAAATTGAAATTTTATAAAAAGTTGATTTTTGGAGGGGGCGCCCTTAAAGGAAGCAATAAATTTCGAATGAGACTCTTTCGAAGCTGCGCTTCACTGCTCGACAGTAAACGTGTTTTTCATTAATTTCCCAAAGACAGAGCATTAGAGACCTGCATATTTATTCATTTCACAGCATATTAAGACTTTAAGGGTAGTAACGCTATTTATTGAGAGCACGTGCATTTAGAACGAGTTAGCAAAATTCAAGGTTTTTTGTAATTATCTACCATTCACCAGTTATTGGGCTTTCGAGTTGACATTTATACGAAAGATTATCTACCAGTTTAACAGCTATTCCTTCCTGATGAAATTATAAGCATAAGAAGCAGTTAAACATGTTGTAGTCTTCTCATTGAAATTGTTTATTTCACTAAAGTCCTGGCCAAAATTATACGATTACTTCTTTCAGAGGAGTTCTTTTCCGTTCTCGACTATTATTGATGTTTGAGAAAAGATAAATCGATATGATTGCATTCATTCGAGTATACAGGGTGTTAAATAACCTTTACGCCCCCCTCTACAACTTAAACTATAAATGATACCCACAAAGTATTTTATACCAAATTAAAGCGCATCGAAAACTGCANCACCTCGCTGAGTCGAGTGGCAATATTTATTTTTCGATTCAACATACATTAATGCTGTAATTTTAATATTCCTCAAACTATGACTCCAGTCGCTAGATGGCGCCAGAATGTGAAATTTCAGGAATGTTTGAATTATAGCGTTAATGTAGGTTGAATCGAAAAAATAAATATTGCCACTCGACTCAGCGAGGTGAATTACCCCTTCTGAGGTCCTTTCCCGGACGATTCTACGTGGATTGACCGAAATCGAAGGTCTCAGCAAATCACTTATAACTCCTGAACTAAATGAGATGGAAAGTTGGGTCTTGTCTAGTTCGAAAGAGAACAATTTTGTCTATTAAATAGTCATGAAAGAATCCATGATAGTATCGCAAATTGTGTTCAAAATATTGTTTGCAAAATGTCCGTTGGACATTCATCTAATTGTTCCATTATGAACCAATCAGATTTTTACATGGAGATGTGGCCCCAACATTTCTCTGTCCATTGGTGAAAACCGCCGGTCTCTAGCTGCTAGTGTTCTTGAGTTATTCAAAAAATAGTGGAGCACATTCTGTTTTGAAATGGATAATAATTCCTTGTCAAAAATTAAATGTTCAGCACAAAAAGCAACCCATGTCGCCACTTTTTTGACGACTGCGTCGCAGTTACGCATATAGCCAATTCTGCGTCGCAGTTACGCATATAGCCAATTCTGCGTCGCAGTTACGCATATAGCCAATTCTGCGTCGCAGTTGCGCGTAACTGCGAAATTTTGATCGTAACTGCGAGAATAATATCGCAGTTGCACGCAGTTACGACAAAAAATTCGCAGTTACGCGTAGCTGCGTCGCAATTTTTCGCAATTACGGGTCACAGTGCGATCGCAGTTACGCCGTAACTGCGTCGCAGTTTGATCGTAATGAAACATGGGAACGAATGTTAGACTGCATTGTCTCATAACTTAACTAGGGTGTCTGATGTAGTCATTCAAAGCAAAATTGACGGAAACTAATAGTTGGTTGTTGTTTTTTTCTAACGGCTAGCTTTATTCTATCAAGAATTATAATGTCGGATGTGCTGAATTTACGACAGAGTTCGTAATGTATTTAAAACTTCAAAGAAATTCTTTTTAAAAAAAAAATATTTTTTCTGTCTAATTGGTTATTCTTGTCGAGCAATTGGGAAGAATTAGTCTTTCGAGCTTTATCCGTAAAAGACAAAGTTGCTCATAAAAAAAGAAATCTAAATTCATGGTTTTATAGATGAGAAAAATCTCTATCTAATGAGCTAAGACAATATCTATTAAGTTTTGCTTCCAGCTATTGAAAAAATAAAAGTATTTCATTTGAAAATTAATCGCATGTTGCTTCCATTTATCATTGTTTCTATCTTTTGAAATCGCAACAATTATTCTCATATTTTTGACATAAATATTTTTATCAATAAATACTTTTCTGATACAAATCAATGAGATCTAACTTCAAACATAGTTACATTTTCTTAAGATAAAAGAAACTTATCGACTACGTAAACAAATCCTTGAAATGAAAGAAATAATACTAAACATACAACATATAAAAATAGAACATCTGGACTATGTCAAATATATAGTTATTTACTGACATAAAAAATGTACTTAAATTATTTAATAGAATTGTATGTTTAGTCTTAAAGCAACAGATATTATCTTTTTTTTTTTAAGAAAATCAAATCTCATTCATTCTGTTGATTAAACATCACGAAGTTCATTTGCTATCTTACGCCCTCTGTTGATACATTCTCTAATAGGATCCATTGTTGTCTTTTGATAAATTTAAGATTTTTTTGAGGCTAATAAGCGTTTCGAACAAGAACTGACAGATTCCAATTTTTCGTGTTTTTCTCTATTCAATGTCCATATTAATCAGTCATAAAAACGCACCAATTCGTTTCTTACTTGATCATCAATCATTCGATAATAGCATTGACCAAGATCTATCAGTTATTTATTGTCAAATATCATCAAATCTATTTTTTTACACGGCATTACTCAGTGAACTTTCATCATCATCTCAGTTTGCTACAATATTTTATCAAACTCTCATTCAATTGAACAATAATACACGTCCATTATACAATCGAAAACGTCTCAAATATATTTTTAATCATATTTATCATCGTCACAATATTATTTATTTACAGGTTCATAATAAAGTTAATCAATACGATGAATGGATTAATCGTTATTGGTAAGTTTTATCTGATTTTATCATGTTTTCAATCATTCATATAATAGGGCATCTATTCAATTAAATGTTTTAATAAAACGTATTCGTTATGAATCATCATGGGCATGGTTATCAACATTAGGTGGTGGTCATTCATGTCTTGGTGAAGTATCTGTACAGCACGTATATATAAAAATATTCATATAAATTTAACAGATTTATTTATTTATTTTAATTTCTAACAAATTCAGGCAAAAGAAGCTGAAATGATAACAAAAAGTCAAATATGTTTATCTTATGAAATTGGAGATCCAAATGCATTAGTTAAATCTTATTTATTTCTTGCACTAAGTTATTTACAACAAAAACGTTATGATGAAGTTCGAATTATACTTCGGTAAAAAAAACGAAAAATAAAATTTGTCTATAAAGAAAAACGAAAAATTGTATGTTTTATGTTATAGATTTCAATATCAATGTATTCAACAAAAAGATATCACTGATGAACGTTTAGCAATCATGTGTATTGCATTATGGAAGAAAATGAAATATGCTATTAAAAGAGATAAAACATTGATTCAATAACTTGTCTTTTTTAATTTTTGTGATATTTAACATGATCATAACACATAAAATAGTTTTTGTTTTTATTCTCTTTTATGTGTTATATTTGATATTTGATCTTTCTGTGAATTACAAGTATTCTTCGAATATTGATCTCGTCTCTGTCTCAAATGAAAAAAAAAGAAACTATTTTGAGATGTTTGAGTTTTCCACATGATCGAAGATGTTAAGAAAAAGTAATCGATGACGAAAGAAAATATTAGTTGCTTTATAAAAGCATAGTAATAGATAGAGATGCTTCTAGACATATCTAGATGTTTATAGAACATCTGTTCCTTACGTCAGATTAGGCGACTATGAGTAAAGGATGATGTTTTAAATAATATTATCTCTTTCAATAATAATGATATTAACAGAAGAAACATAGTAATTAAGATGAGGGCGCAGAGGATAGCTACACCCACACCCTAAAGATTACGTTACAAATGATGAATTCATAATTAATTAAAAATTCTTAAACAAATACTGATCGGTTGCGAAATTTTGATTATCATATTTCTTTTTGTTTATATCACCATTATTAAAATATATAATGTCATTGGATAATATGCCATTTAAAATATCGCCCCGAATACTCGAAGCTCATATAGATACAGTTGGGTGTTGATAATTCTTTGTTTGCATATAAACTAATTTTCGCTCAGATCCAGAACTCATGGGATACTCTTTATAAATTGATATTTGATAAATTTTTTCTTATTATTAAAGAGCTCGATCGATTAGAAAGAAAATATGACAATCATATAATACTCTAATGCTTTCATTTCTATATACTAGGATTTATTACAATTAGAAATAGCAATTCATTTACTGTTCATAATACTTTTTCTCTTCCAATTTAACTATTTCGTTTATTACAGAATTAAATAACAAAAATATAAGTAAACAATATGAATACATCTATGATCAACAAATTAAACTTAACTTTTACATATCAATATTTTTTTAATTGATTCAAATTCTTGTTCTTGTTAGGAAAACAACTAATCATCACATATGATAAGTAAAATGATTGATTGTTGTTCTTACAACTAGTAACATTATCTCTTTTGTATAGTTAATTATGTTATTAAGAAATAAAACAAAAGAAGAGAAGACAATTTACAGAAAACAATGAACAGAAGAGTTTATTATTTTTTTAAATAAAACAATTCGAATGAATAATAAAAAATATGAATCCGATTGATAAGAAACTGTTTATATGTATTGATATCGTTCGTATACTATTTGATTTAGGTATAATAACTACTGGTTTTGTCTTATCCGTTGAATCATCTTGAGTAATATCATAGAGTTCATCTTCTTCAGCTTCGCTTTCTTTACTATCTTCAACTTTAGCAATAGTATTTGGCACATTTACTTGTACAGCATTTTCAGTATTCAATTTTTGTCCCAGTGCACCAGACACCAAATAAAAAAGACCGATGAAGAAAATAATTGCAAAAGAATAGAAAATCAATTTAGACATTGAAAATGAAAAAAAAGAGAAGAAAGAAATGATTCGGTTGTTTAGATAAATTTTTTATTGTTGTTTTTGCGCGAAATAAAAAGAAAGTGATTAAAAAAATTTTTTTTTTCTTAGATAATTATAAATGATTTGGACATATCATAAAGTTTCAATTTTATCCATTCCGACGATTTGTATACTTGTCTATTTTTTTATTTATCATTCACTTTTCACTATTTCTTTTTCATTAATTTCAATTGGTACGTAGATATTTATAGTAAAAAAAATTGTTTAAAATAATCTTTTTCAAGGTTTAATCTATGGCGTTATATTAGCAATACATCAATCAAAACCATATACAATTGTTCATAGTGGAAAATTAAGAACTAAACATAATAATATAGTTAAATGGATTATAGAACAAGTTCAAGTAAATAGAACAAATAGATAATTATAAATGAACTTCTCTTTAATAGATATCTTCAAAAGAAAATTTAAAAGAAAATAGTGTTAAAAAACATGAAACGCATATTGATTTGGAAACAATTATTGATCAAATATGTGATTTACTTTTAGAAGATCTTGTTTTATCTTGGTATAAAAATATTTCCTATGAACAAACAACATTTACTCAAACACTTAAGTAATAGTCTTTACCATGACGGATAAAGCTAAATTTTCAACATTGTGCATAAAAAAAATAATTCTGTGTTTATTGATATAATTGATCATATAGTGTTTCACAGCAGCAATCTTAATAAAATAGTATATGCTTAAGTGAAGCCATCATTCATCCTCCCTCGTCGGAGTTTTTAGAGAATGGTTCATCAGAAAAATCTAAAACTTCCAAGACAGATAGATCTCGATAAATAGAGCATAAGTCATCATAGACGCAAACTTTTAAAATACTTCATTGTAGAAGATATAGAAGTCACACGGTATAATAGTAATCTAACCTCTGCTTATCTTCCTGTTTTTCAACCGCAATACGGCTCATAGAGCTAAAAATTTGTTTACAGATACCAAACAATGTTTAGAGTATCTAAGATTTTTAGTTTTCTGTTGTCTCTTTATATTCGGATAAAAACAGAGAAATCTTGAGCGAGTCCTTAAAAAATGCATATGTTTTCAAATAGAACTTTCTTTGTAATCCTTGATAAAAGCTACTTGTACATCATATTTTAAATACAAAGAGGCAGCCACTCTAAATACTTTCTAGCATTAATAGTAAAAGTTTCAGCTCAGTTGAATGTGTTGTACTTAAGAAAAAACAGGGCACCTGTGTACGTAAAAGAGAGAAAAAACAAAATTGAAAATCTAAAAATTTCCAGTTGAGCCTTCTATTCTTGAAGACCAATGCTAGTTGAAAGTGGTATGAACAGTATCTGTGTTTTAACATTTTTTTTCAAGCATGTAAAAAAATTCATATTGAGCTAATATCATAAAGAGTAGCTTTTTTTCATCGTGAGTATATTTCAATAGGTCAAATAAACAAATGAATTTCCTGGATGAATCTGCATGTAAGTTAATAGGAGGAGTAACAGTTTCAGAAAATCAAATGATTTCAGTTTATTGTAATTTCTAACTAAAATTTACCAATTCAACGAAATGATTCTTTCAGACGTTTGTCAGTTAGTTATTTTTGCAAAGAATCTACTTTACATGTCATCAGCTTTATTCTTCCTAAATTTCATTATTAATATGAATTAAATTTTTCTTCAGACAAGAAATTCACCTAATTGTATCAAATATTAAAACACGTTGTGCTCAGGTTGATTGGGTTAAATTCATATCAAATGATCTTGTTGAACTATTTGCTGATCATTATCAACAAGTGCGACGAGCAACGTTTGTATTTTTCAAAGAAAAGTTGCTTAATAATTTATTTTTTTCTATTAATAAAAAAAATAGATTATATCCAGAAGAATATCCGTTTCGTTTACATGCTTATTTAGAAACCAATGAAATTGAAAATGATTATTTAAGAGTAATGAATGAAGCATTATTACTTCTTCTGTTACCATCAAGTTATTCATCGACATTAGCTTTAAGGCATTTATTACGTGAAATATTTGTTTTTAAAAGTAAACTATAAATAGAAAATGAATAAAAAACTATTTAAAAAACAATTTTTCTTATATAGTTTTTAAACCAACAATAAATTTAATATGTGAACCTGATTATTTAAATGAAAATATTTTATATCAAATTGATCAACTAAATTCAAATAATGAACAAAAATTACGAAAATTTACATTAGCATCTAATTATGAAAATTTTATTAAGCTTATTGAAACAAGTAATGATCTTGATAAACTTGAACAATTTTGGTAATAAAATAAAACAAATTTAATTTAGTCTTTTATCTAATCGAAACTGTCTTTGTATTTTCATTAGGAATTATATTGTAACAGAAATTATGCAAGCAACAGCAATCAGAAATTTATTAAAAGAAGGTGTTATTTCAAATGGTATGTATGTGCTGTAAAAATATATACAGTTAAACTTTTCAGTATTTTGGATAAGATCTATATGTAGTAAAATCTTTACTAGTCACTACTTCCTTATTCTGAATAGTGAATATCTGTTTTGTCGTCATTTTTGCTATGATAACCTCTCTCATGTGGACATACATACAATGGCGTTTTTTTGACTTTCTACTGTCTTTTATGTGTTTCATGTGTACTACAGCTAGGTACACAAATACTAATGTAGACACATATTCTGACAACTTTTCTTGAGTTCACAGCAAACCATGTATCAACTCTCTAAACTGAACATCTATATACGATGAATCTTTTCTGAACGGCCCCACGGTGTTTAAAATAGAGAATTTTTACTGTACACAAAAGTCAACTAGAATGCAAATAGGCCAAGCTGTTGCAAATTCAAGTGGATGTTCACTGAATAAATTAAAAAGAATTTTTCTCTGAAACTCCAGCATTGTGTAAAATCATGCAACTACTCATACAACCTTCCATTCCAGAAAAAGTAAAAGAACTAATAGTAAAATTCATTGTGTATTTGAAATTTGTATGCTTCACTCTATTTGTTAAAAGAAAAATTTTTAAATATAATTATAAATGGAATATAGTATTATAATACAAAATAGCGGAATACCTACTAAATCCTTGATTCTCCTGAAAGAAACTAACTATATGAAACGATCATAAAAAGATATTTAATAGTAACTGTATAACATCATCATCAGTTGAACGGTTTTTGACATGGAGTGAGAATTTCTCTCGTCTCTAATGTAAGGATAGAATTTGATTATGTTCGTTCTATTATGATTTAGATAATCATCAAGCAAGACTTGGAACTAAAGGTGAATTGTTAATGAAGCGTGATTTACCAAAATATCTTAATCAATTACGACGAGCAAAAATAGTTTGTGAAAGACATATTACAGCTAATGGTGGTCGAAGTTATTTACTTGTTGATGCAAGTACAAATAAAATTAATTTAGCTAATCGAAAAGTATATATTTTTTCTTTCTTCTTGTTTCTTATTATATAAAGAAATTTTGTCCATAAAATCTTATTAGATATTGTCATTAAATATGATATTAAGTTGTATTACTGGTCGTCATTATTTACATCAATTTTTAGAAACATTTGGTACTCATACATTAGTTAAGTAAGATATTAGAAATAGAATTCTTTTGTTTAAAAATGATATATTCATTGTAGATTTTGGTATGATGTTTGGAAATTACGTTCTGGTAAGATAAATTATATTATTTTCTATTGATAAAATATGATTGAATATTTTTAGCTCCATCTCATGAACGACATCGTGTAGCAACAAATATTTATAAAACATATATAACACTTTTTGGTAGTGCTGTTCGTGATGAAATTGATAATGCAACGGTAATTCAAATGAAATCATTTCTTGTCGGTGAACAGGTACGAAGAATATATATATAGGTTAATTACAGATATCTTTTTTACAAATTTTTTATATGATTCCAATATCTTTCAAGAAAAGCAAAAACGAAATAATACATTTTCTTTTTCTAATATAGGCTGAACCAGATGCATTTTATCATGGTCAAGCTATTGTTTATCGTGTATTACAACGTGATTATTATGTATCATTTCTTGTATCTAAACAATATGATGCATTTTGTCGAACGTTCGATCCAGCTGATCTAAAAAATTGTATATTTTTTATTATTAATTTATACTATTATTGATACAGATTTCATTTTTTCGTAATAGTTGATTTAAAAGAACAATTACTTGGTTGGTCAACACCAATTTCAGCGGATGAAAATGATGATCATACAGATGATAATCGTATATTACAACAATCTGAATTAACAACTGAAGAACCATCTGAAAGTGTACCAAAACGTTTAGCTGATTTACGAAATCAACTATCGAATAAACAATATGCATTAACAGCTGCAAAAGAAGCATCGACATTTGATACAACAGTTTGTATTTATTTTATATCTTTTTTTTTTTTTTACTTAAAGAAAAATTCCAATATAGGTTTTAGCGTCACTTGAACGTGATTGTATTGATTTACATCAAGAAATAAGTACACTTGAATGTTTATTAGAAAATGTTGATTTATGGTGGTCCTATATGGGTCAATGGCAAGCTCAAATACTTTCGGATATGGTTTGTTGATAACAAAAAAACAGAAAACTTAAATATTTTCTTTTTTTAAAAGATTGGAAATGGTCGATCATCTCTAGCTGTACTTATTCGAAGTCCAAACAGTGAACAGGATCAAGTTGGTTGGGTTATAACACGAACATTATATGCTTGGCAACATTTTTATTTTCGATTAAAAGAAGTTTGTTTAGATTTTATTTTAAATGAAAAATAACTTAATAAATATGAATTATTTTTTAGCTAGAACCATCATTACCAACAATTGATTTATTTCGTGTACGTCATCGTCATTTTAACCAATTACAATTTGACGAATATGCCTCTAAACTATTATTAAATCAACTTGAAATATTTCTACAAACAATTCTTCATGATGAACATATGTCATCATTTGAACTAGTTTATCAATTTTTGAATCCATCTATTATTGATAATGATAAACAATTATCAAATTTAGTTAATGTTAAAAAGAAACAAACGAATTCACATGAAAATTTATTGTATGTAATTTTTCATAGAATAAATATATATATATATATGCAGAACTCAGAAGAAACTTTATCTATTCGATTATTCCTGAGTAGAATTAAAAAACAAGATGAAATTAGTTTCATATACATTAAAATTATTGTTTGAACGTTCACATGTAACTGACCCTCAGCTTAGCAAAGTCGAAGTTTTGCTGACCTTCCCCCAGTTTCTTGAACATCTTTTATAGTTGAGCCCTTTGTATGACTAAAAGTGTATAGGATCAGTAAAAGTTTTATTCATTGATAATACAAATTAGAAACGTTTTTTGTATACATTCACAACTAAAGTGTATTTTAGCAAAGCCATGGATTGAAATTCTTTTTGCTGTATTTTGATCAACATTTAAGATTAGAATAGCTATGAATTTATATTGCTTTTCTGTTGAAGTTTCCCTCTTAGAAAAGCTTCATTTTACCTATTGCCTTTTTTTGTTTGAAAGAACATATAAAGATGTATGGCATGACAGAGTCTCTTTTTTGAATTAAGCTTTGTTACTATTAAATAAAAGAGTACTTTTATAAGTATAGTACCGTTTTTTCAAGACATTGAACTTTTTATCCTTTTTCTAAGTTTAAAAATTAAGA